GGGAGGTCTAGCAAAAATTCTTAATGCCTAGGACTTACAAAGCTGGGAGAAAGATAACGCTGCTTAGCAGGATTGCCCAAGAAAAGCAATTGTCTTTTTAACAGAGAGGACAAGGGTAAAATTCCTTCCACGCATTTACAGCCAGAGGCAGCTTAGCCTGGCTAAAGAAACGGGTACAGGTGGCACCTCAATACTGAAGATCCTCTACCTAGCTCAGGAGGGAGGAATATTCCAGGACGACCACAGAAATTCCTACAGACCTACTGGCCACCAGCAAGACAGCACGTTAAGAAGGATGGGAAAGCAGGCATAGTGTATTTGAACCAACCCAAGAAATTTTCCTGTCGCAAAGGGTGTTTGGTCCTCGGCAGAAAACCAAGACTGATTATGCTGGACCCTCGCCCATTCACAGAGTAATAAGTATTTCTTGATAAATACAGACACTAAGTAGATTAAAGCCATCGCTCTTAAGCAAAGAGACCTAAACGCAAGTTGAAATATGTTGCATCCAGCTGAGGACTCAGACCAAGAAACCCTCTTTGCTGTTCCTGTCCCTCAAGAAACATGAAAACATGTTAACATCAAGTCGAAATTTCACATCCTATCTGCACGTATCGCATCCGCGGAGTGCTACGGCTGACTGTCCAAGAGGCCCCTGACAAACAGACATTTTGTATTGCTTTCAAACAAGTCCCACAACAGAAACGACCCTGGAACAAATGAAAAGCAAAATCATTACGTGGATTTACCCGATCAGCACTCATGGCTTGGATCACTCACGAGAAGCGTAACAAGCTTTGAGCAACATGGAAACTACTTCAGCAAATTCACTTTCCCTTCTTCCCTTGCCTTCAGAGGCAAGAAGCGAGAGAGCAATTTTCTATGGTGAAGACATCAATGAAACTCCAACGCTGGGCACCAGCTCCAGGAATTCCTTGGGCTTGGGCACACTTCCCTTTGCTGAGCCAAAACCCAGAAGCACCGAACTGCTTGCTTGGTTTCACAGCATGATTTGAACCACGTGAAACGTGCACGTGACAGAAGCTTTGCACCCAGAAGCACGACTGCTGTTAGCTAGCAGCTTTGCGAAGGTTTTTGGTGTCCATAGATAAGAAAAATTAACAAGTCCACAAGCTCAGCTGCTGCCTCCGACAGACCTCCAGCAAGCAAGTCCTCAGTACAAGAAAGACATGGACCTCTTGGAGCAGGTCCAGAGGAGGCCATGAAGATGCTCAGAGCGTGGAACAGCTCTGCTGTGAGGACAGGCTGAGAGCTGGGGGTGTTCAGCCTGGAGAGGAGGAGGCTGCGGGGAGACCTGATTGTGGCCTTGCAGTGCTTAAAGGGGGCTTAGAAGAAAGATGGGGACAGACTTTTTAGCAGGTCCTGTAGCGACAGGACAAGGGGGAATGGTTTTAAACTAAAGGAGGGGAGATTCAGGCTAGATATAAGGAAGAAATTTTTTACAATGAGGGTAGTGAAACACTGGCCCAGGTTGCCCAGAGAGGTGGTGGATGCCCCATCCCTGGAAACATCCAAGGCCAGGCTGGACGGGGCTCTGAGCAACCTGGTCTGGTTGAAGCTGTCCCTGCTCATTGCAGGGGGGATGGACTGGATGGCCTGGAAAGGTCCCTTCCAACCCAAAGCATTCTGTGATTCTGTGATTCCATTCAACCTGCACATCCCATGCATCTGGCAAAAGCTGGACCTCTAACGGGCCAACCTGCCCACCCCAGCAGTTAAATCGGCTGACACAGGTTTCCTGGCTCAGCCCGTGGGTCGCCCGGACCAGCAGTGACTGGCGTAGAAGGTCGAGGCAGGACAAACACGGGTAAACTCCAAATTAAAGTCTGCAGTTTCCTCCTCTTGCTCCCTTTCTGTTGGCAGCACGGAGAGGCTCCCCATCACCACAGCTTTCTCCCAGGGCCTGGTTCTTTCTAGAAAGGAGTGTTTTCATCGAACACTTGGCATTTTACAGAAACCATGCCAGGATGTCTTCTAACGCTCTTCAATCTCCAGCTTGGGCTGGATTGCAATAAAAAATTTTAACCCTAAATATCTTGCAAAGACATCTTTACTTGTTTTCTATAAAGCAGATAGGACAACTTTTGATGCAAAACTTGGGTTTGTTGTTCTTTAGTTCTTTTTTTTTTAATGACAGCAAACAAATCTTGCACCAGGTAACAAGACAATGACTAAAACTGTTAATAAAGACCAAAAATAGTAATACCAAAGACTGATGCGGTGTGGAAACCATGCCTTAGTGCCATGAACTAGGCATTTCTGTGCCTCACTGTTACTTTGCAGAGTTTTGAACATCTCCCTCTATATGCACACAGTTCTTAATTTATGTAAAACAAATGTATAAACACGCTGGAAGAGTCTTTGAGGAGAGTTGCTAACAAAAAAAGAAGTTCCCACGATAAGCCAAATGGCAGAAATCGTCGGACGCTGCTACAGAAGTATTCTTACATTCAAAGGTACAGTAGGTTTTAATTATATCGTAATAAAGAACGATATACATAAGCATTTCTTCTGATTTACTAGATCGCTTCTTTAAATTATAGGCCAAGCTATGTTTTTAACAGAAACACTTTTTTAAAAAATAATTAAAAATAGAAACAGCACTGCAGCAAACATTTGGAAAATTTTCGGAGTCGATTGTTTATTGGGACTCCAACTGATTTTAATGAAAATATGGTTATGATTTTAAAAAACAGCACTTTTATGTTTTGCATAAGGAAAGTCCCTACAATGCAACCTCCAGGGCACTTTTTAAAGAAAAAAAAAAAAAATCTCAAATGGTCGCAGGGCTCTCTGGCCAAAAGCCCTCCTCGAAAACCAAAAGATGTGGGTTGCAAACTATTTCAAGTATCCACAACAAGTGAAACTGGATGTAGAAAAATATGTTCTCAACATTTACTTCTGTTTATGGTGAAACTGGAACCAGATGACCCCTAACAACATATTGTGTGAACGGGTAATTAACCAGCTGCAGATGGAGCCCAACTGCTGATCATTTACATTCGCGGCGCTGATCACTTCCATCCAGCTCAAGGAAAAGGTCAGCTGGCGGGTAATCTGGGATGGTCCCTCCCTTCAGAGCCTCCACATGCATCCCCGGCGCTGCAGGCTCGATCCAGCCAGAGTTATCTGTAGCGCACAGCTTCGGGGAGAGATGCTGGCTCGGTGCAGGACATCTCACCGGCTCCCGGCACAGGACATCTCACTGGGGCTGTGCTGGTGGAAGAGGGGTTCAGGAGTTGATACCTGCCCTTCTCCCATGGGTGGCTGTTGCACGTTGGTTCCCCCACCTCACCTCCACCATTACAGCCCTCTCCCGCTCGCTCTACCACAAGCGTTATCCCCATTTGGTTTAATGTTGCTGTGAAGGTCACGGGAAAGATCTCCAAGTGACCCTAACTGGACTTGGACCAGCCTGCAGTTATGTTGCCTTGATCTTCCACAGTAACTTGAGCTTTCCTCCACTTTTCCAGTTTGTTCATAGGAAATTTCCGCCTTCCCGCTACAGGCAGTGCCTCCTCCACCACCTTTGCAGAGCACGCACGAGGCAACGCCGTTTTCTCCTGTCCCACCTGGAAACTCATGCACGCTGCTCTGACGTGGACAACAGCACCCCTGAAGTCGGTGTGAAGGCAGCATTTATCTTTGTAAATCGCTCCCGAGCTAACGCGGCACTAACCTTTGGGATATAACACACCGCAGGGAAAGTTCAGCTGGAGCTGAGGTTGTTCAGACATCAAAGGGCTGGAGACGACGCCCCTTCGCTACAGAAGCACCGTCTGCTAAATGCCAACAGATCCCCAAATCAGCACCCCCTGTGCTAGTGCCCGTTTGGAAAAAGAGTTTTTAACCAGCAGCCATGTTTTATCCCACTTTTTTTGATAACTAAAATGCAAGTCACCATGACTTGATGACAATTCTAGATGCACCCAAAACCCACACAAATTAGGAATAAAATAGCACTACCAATAGTAGGCATATACACATATGCATACATACACACATATACACACACACTTTCAAAAAGAGCCAGTTTCATCAAGCTGAAAACAATTATGAGCCAAATCAGTTGGGAAAAAGAATGTAATCAGAAAAATATGAAGACTAATTGAAAATTGTTTAAGAACATTTTAACTAGATGCTCCAAAAGCCACAATCCCACAACTGAAAAAGGCAGCCACGCTAGTTAAAAGGCAACTTGGCTCAGACGGAAGTTAAGGAGGCTATAAAAAAAAAAAAAGGAATACGACAAATGGAATAAAGAGAAAAGCTCCAGCTGACAAAAAAAGTCTGGTGTTAGGATGTGTAGATAGCCGATATGGGAAGCAAGAGGATACATGAAGAAATCAAGGGCTGGTGGAGTTAAGTTTATCAGCGATTTCTTTTTTTAAGCACATTAAAGGTAAAACAACCCAATGGATTGTTCCTCTAGCAAAAGGAAGGGGTATTTTTTTTTTCCTGCGGAAATGCAAAACTGGAAAAAAATTGTTCAGTAGTATCTTATTCTGCGCTGCTAAGGGAGGTCATCGTATCACAGACCTGCAAAACGCTCGTCCTCTTGCATTGCTATGCAATGAAACGGCAGGCGGGATAGCGAGCCATTTTCAGTTCAGTAGATAGTACAATTTAGATGTACAAGCATGGAAATATTGTCATAACTTCTCCTAATATACTGGATTTAGTTCTAGCGTCCACATTCAAGAAGGCTGGTGAAAAACGGCTCTGGTTTCATACCCCAGCAGATGACCAGACTGGAAAATTTGAAGGTTTTCCATTGGGAAGTAGAACTTGACTGATTTCTTCCACCGCAGCGAAGGTTAGTGAACTGTAAGTACTCAGCCAGGGAACTCGGGTTTGCAGTTTAGTGCCACAAAATCAATCCCAGTATTTCAAAGAAAGCCACAGGTAGACTAGAAATTAGGTCCATGTTATTATCAGAGAGAGTGATTAGGCGAATAGACACATCAAGTGCAAAGTACCTTAATATTTGGAGAGAGCAGAAGACTGAAGAAAATCTTGGCAATTATTTTCCACTGATTGTATCTGCAATCCTTTAGGAAATGAAAGGAAGAAACATTAAAAAAGGAGGAAACAACAACAAAGCAGAGAAGACTGAGAGCAGACAGGCAACAAAAATTCATGAATAGTGGAAGCAAACAGCACGGAAACCTGCCGACGACACTAAATTCAGGTATTTGCCCAACTGAAGACAACAAACTTCAAGGGTATTTTAAGGGACATTAAATCCACAGCTGATATACTTGGAAGGACTGGTCAGGGGACACATTCAGGAAAGACTGAAAGGTTAGGAGGGGAGAGAAAGGTGAAGTATCTGCCTGGGACCCAAGAGAGCGGTGAAAGCTGAAGGAGCTGCAGCCATGAGAGATGAGAGCAGAGCACGACCCGAGCGTCCGGGAAGGCAGCTGGTGCAGAGCCACGACAGCTGAAGGGTCAGAAGGGACAAAATGAGTTGCCCAGCTCTAGAAGGACCATGGACATCCATTAGCACCTATCTACAGATCACACAAAGCATGGGCCACCACAACGGGATGAACATGGCATACGGACCAAAAGGGAGAAGGAACGTGGAAGGGATTTCTCTTAAGAGCTGTGCTAATAACACTTAAAAACATTCAGCTAGCATTGCAGAAATGCCAGATTTTCAAAGCCTATGGGATGAGAAAATCAACAGCATCATACCTTGAGCTGTTTCGCCAGCTTTAGTAAATATATCTGGAGATGACTCACACCCACTGTGCACTGCCTGGGCTTGGTCTGTTGACCTTTCAGATTTTGTGAACATTTAAATGCAAATGGCAATCTTCTTGCTTAAAATGAACTTTTTGTATAGAAAAACTGTTGCCCTTTAAGCTGCCCAAACACCTCGGACTGGACTGAGAACAAGCAGACAACCCTTAAGCCTGGAAATGGTTGGTTTGGGGGGGGAAATGTATAAAAAATAACAAAGAGTGACAATTCAGAGAGGGGCACCAAGACCATGGCTCACCCTTAATGGTACCATCTAGTACCAGGCAATGGTAATAATTCAACAAGAATAAATATATGCCAGAAACAACCAAAGACATGCTTTCCTAGTAAGCCAAACCCTGGTGTCTACAATGCTGCCCTCTCCCCCCAAGGTCAGTCCTCCTCCATGAGTCAGAACTTGATTCATTTTCCCGTAACACAGCAAGTTTAATAATCCAAGAATTTTCAAGTTTCATCAAAATCCATAAACACATTTTATTCCATCCAGAAGAACATTGAACTTGGCGGGACAGAGTACCGCAGCAGTGGCCCCAAGTCAAGAAAAATCCTCTTTTGAAGAGTCAAACCATCTCCAGGAGTTAAATGAAGTAGGTCTGGAAAATGGGCATCTACTCTAAATACAAATATTCTCCTTTGCCATAAACAAAATAGTCATAAAAAGCTCGTAATTATTTCACATTTACATTTACAGCAAGTTAAAAACGCGTCATCCTATTAGGTGAGTGAGGTTATCCAGATTGGACAAATTGGCAAACTGAGGCACAGATGGATTAATAACTTGCCCAAGGCCACAGAACGAGCGTTATCAGAGTCAAAATCAGAACACCAAAATCCTTGGCTGCCGGAGCTGTGCTAAACTTATTTTTTCTTTAAACTCTTCGTTTTTTTTAATTTGGTCTTCGCCACAAGAAGACAAACATGAAGTATGAATCTATTATTCCTATAGGCATAAAATTTTAAGAGATCGCAGTAGTCAGGTAGTCTGACATCTTGAGCAACGCAGACGCGGAGTCGCCCGCTAATTAATACCTACTTCAAGGTCAGTAGTTGTGGTTGAACTGGAAAATAAAGCTTTTAGAAAAACAAGTCATTCTGATTTTAAAGGTTTTCCAGGGATGATGCAATGTCCACCACAAATCTTGATGGATTGTTCCAGCAGCTCATTACCTCCACTCCCGTGCCTTTACCCAGCTTTGACCTTTGCCACTGCATCTTATCACACCTTTGGCTGCTTACATTAAAACAGTAGCTACTATCACTGTTTCCTAAGAGACATCCAGAGAAGCAGAGGTCACAATCCTCTTCTTTGATAGATTAAAGATATTAAGTTCCTCGAGTATCATAAATCCTGTTTCCTAACCCTAATCCTGACGAAGGTTCAAATTGTCTCATCCTTGTACAACAAAACCACGAATAACTCCAGCAATATTAGGCCAACCTCTGTATAAAACCCTCATGCTCAAGGGCAAATATCGCATTGCATGAAGTGATGCTTTGCAGGTGAACTAAAATTAACGCTTGCCGTGAGTATGTTCAGTAACGCTCATGACACGGCTTTGCTTGCTTGCAGTTTTTGCCTGAACTGTACTATGCTACGTCCTGCAAGGTGCAGCAACTGAGGAGGACAGGTCAAAAGATGAATTAACAATTTTATTTAGAAGATAACACTCCAAGCAGAGGTGTTCTCCTCTACTTTCATTTGTCAGAGAAAAAACTAGGTCCCTCTGTTCCCATATGAATTTTGTCCATAAGAAAGCTCATTCCTTTAGGACACCCTAAGGTCCACTGGAATTGATTTCACATCAAAGATTTTTCTTTACTCCATCCTACCCAGACACCCTACGTACCCAGAGATGTCTCCAAAGGACCCTCAGTAGAATTTCTCTTCGTACCTCTAACTTCCACCCCTTCCTTCATATATCTGTAAAACCAGCCCACCGTGTCCTTTAGCAGCTCCTAGGGTAGACATGGTGCTCAGGAACATGGTTTAGCGGTGGCCTTGGCAGTGCTGGGTTAACGGTTGGACTCAATGATGTTAAGGGTCTTTTCCAACCTTAATGATTCTGTGATTCTATGTTCTTCAAAGCTGCTGGGATAACTATGCCTGGCTGAAGACAGATTCACTGATGAAGAGCAATCAGAAGCAAGACATTTAAGAGCCATACATGACATGAAGGGCTTAATATCCATCTCATGTGATAACAGAAAGACTACTGCTCCACAGGAGGAAGACTTTTCCGGTTCTTTCTTCATTACAATAAAATGAGCAGCAGATTAGCCATCAGAAAAAAAACATTTAATAAGGGGAAAATGAACTAAGCAATCCTATACTATTATACAGAAGATGCAGCAGTAACGAACCACGCCAGGCCTAAACCCCACAGAAGGAAACACGTGTAAAGATCTTACTTGGCCTCAAGAGATTCCAGATCAACGGGACTATGGCAATTGGACAAGTCTGCACCCATCATTAAAGAAAAGAATAACCTGAAAAATATAATTGCACCTACAATCAATAACCTTTGAAAAAGTGCTCACAGTTTTCAGATAGCTCAAGATCTGGTGGGAAGAGCGCAGAACGGGTGAATAAGAAATCAATTTTTATTTTCCCTGTTCACTTTCCTTCTTCCCGTATCTCCACTTTATGAGACATCCCCAAATCATGCACCTCTGCTTCAGGTTAAGTCTGGCAACTTTTTCACAGGCACGTGTTGAGAACATACTTCACACATCACCAACCTCCTGCACATTCCCACATATCTGCATGGTACAAGCAAAGCCCCTACCAAACCCAGGCTCAAGCCATGCCTCTGACTCAATTCTAGCACTAATCCTGCTACGTGATTTTCGGGAGCTACCACCCAGCATTCAGCGACCTGACCTGAAGTTCACATTTGGTCGGCACTTCTGATAAACAATACCTTCTAACTGGTTTTTGCTGAGGTTTCCAACTGAACTGTAATTTTCCACATCTTCAAAGAAACTAACCCTCCTTTGTGTCCTGGATGGCCTTCAAAGTTTTTATTCAATTTTATTTCTACGCTCTCTTGTATTACCCCTTCTCCTAAGATGGCAAGGGGATTATTTTTCTACCACCATTTTTATTAGTAAGTGGCAAACTTAAAAGTTACCGTCTAAAATTAAAAAATAAAAAAAAAAAAAAGAGAAAAAGGAGAAGGGAAAGAAGAAAACCTGTTAGACAAAACCAAGAATTCCTAACTCAGTCTAATATTGGTAGTGAGACTAAAACAGATACCTAGAAATCAAGCAGACCGTGATTTATAATCACAACAGTGCAGGAACATATTTCAGATGAAGCTTTTTTGGGTGTTGAGGTTGGGGGGGTTGTTGGGTTTTGGGTTGGTTTTTTTAAGGGTGCCTTAGGAGAGAGCTGAAGCGCTGAATGTTGCACTCAGACCAGCAGCTCCCAGCCTACATCTCAGGACATCTTCCTAGCAGCAAATAAAACAGAAAAATCCTCCTTAACGCAGCAAAATGGGAGAGAGAGAAAAGATGGCCACATGCTAACAGGGTATAAAAAAAAGCCTACAAAATTCCAACTAAAAAAAAAAAAAAAAGTCACAAGACACAAGAAGCATCTTCCAGACCAGACTTCTGATTTCCAATTGCAGATATTAATGACATGCAATTAATAAATCAAGAACTTTACCCCTTAAAAGGACTCAGATATTCATCTGAAACAGACACTTTAGCTGGATCTATTTTTTAATTCTTGGTGCTGTTCCAAGATACTGGATACATCAAGTATCAGTGGCTTATTCCAATACCTCATCCAGTGCCTTGAAAAAAAATTGCCACATCTCCTCTGCTTACTGGTGGGGTTCATAGATGCACAGGACCCCAGTCCACCACCTACAGGACAACCCAAGCGTATTCCCAAAGCCTGAGAGAGGAAACATCGCTACGACCAAGAAGGCAGGAGGCTGAAGGTATCCTCACACCTGAAAAGGTGCTGGAGGAACCAGAGCAGGATGAACTGTGCAAACCATACAAAGTTTGCAAGCTGAGAGACACCGCAGGCACACAAGGGTGTGGAAATTCTACATTTCTAATGTTGCAAAAGCCCCACGCAGTCAAACATCACTTTTTTGGTCATGTATTTTGTAGTTGTCTTATGGAAGCAATAAGCGTGCAGTGTGCCATGTGCTGAACAGAGCACATAATTATTTATCATGGATTACTAGAAGAAAAAACCCAACAGACTCGAGGTCCAGAAGGGCCTCTGACTCATGTCCAGTTAGAGGCAGCTACCGCACACCGA